CTAATTTTGCCTTTAACTGTGGTTGCTAGGAATTTGCTGTGGCCAGATATGCAGCCGAAGCAGAAAGAAATTTAAAATACCTATCTAGCTATGAGATCTGTGGTAACTGCTATCCGTTCTGTCCTAGTTAATCTAAACTTTCGTAGTCCTTTCTCATTTTCTAATCTCTCATCCTGGTAACATGTTTCGACTGATAAAGAGTCCCACGCTATTCTACCCTTAATTCTCAGGTTTTCATCCTAAATTTTATCTAGTTTTCTAGTTATTTCCTTAGTTTATTTTGATACCTTATTTTGAAATGCTTTATTTGCATTAAGCTTCATAGTGCCTTTCTTTTAAATCACTGAACCTTTGGGTAGGAGACAAAAGCATGTAATTTACCATAGTCTCTTCTTCTCTGATCTGATCTCAGCAAAGCCCAAAGCAGTGATTATGGGGCAAATCCTTGTCTCCATGTCTAAGATGCACAGTATTTTTAAAGGAATGAGAATGGTGCTCTTGACTTTCACTGGCCAGATATACTTTGATGCTTCATTATATGGTATCTGTCAGCCTGTGCTTGTTTTCAGCAAGCTGTGTGCTTGTTAATTTTTTGGTCTATTAACATACTTTTAATGGTAGAGTAAGCAAGCTGTGTACTTTTACTTAACAATAGCAATGAGATGATGATGATGCCATTAACAATAGAAACATATTTGTTAATATTAAAATGAAAAGAATGCAGAGTCAGAAGGATCTTTGAATGCTGATACTAGAAAATAAATTGTGATCTATTCCACTAATAGATAAGGGTATATGAAATACTAAATTGTTTCCACTGGGTGGCATTGCAAATCAAAGTATGGTGTATAAGCATATAATGTTTGATGCCCCAAAACAATATGATGTTGTAATTATTTTACATTTTTTTTCAGTATTGTAAAGTTGTTTTGATATATTTGGTAAAACATCTAAAAATGCAGAGGAGTTTGTCACCCTTTTTTCTTTACTTTAGGCTTCCCCCTCTTCTGCTTTATAGATAGCGACAAATATAAGACTTCACTATTCATTTAAAGTCTAAGTCTCTCTATAGTGTTCTTTATGCAGAGGAGCTTTTTTTTTTGCAGTGCAGAGTAATAGCTATAATAAGATACAGTTAGGTTAGTCACGTCATACTCCTTCTGTTCATTCTTATGAGTTGCTTTGTAATTAGTGGTTTTTCCTTTTAAATAAAGGTAGTGTGAATGTAAATCTTCGCCTAATTGTTTTCAAACTATTCTGAATTCGTCTGACTTTTACAAAAAAAATATAAAAAACCCCCACGAGAACAAAGCAAAACCCCACAACCATAAACCAAACAAAACCAAAAAAGGGCAAAGAAATCTGACCAAACAAAAACACCATAAAACTATGTAACTATGTAACTGAATAAGGTCATTGTCTGATTGAAGCATTCTTTTCCCTTTATACTGACATCTCTTCTTCTGAATTTACTTTATTAAGTGTCTTCACTTCTTCTCTCTTTTATCCTTCATTTTTTTGCACTCAGCTCTGTTGGTTTTCCTCCTCATTTTTCCAAGGACCACCAAGAGAACTTGAACCTGGAAGACCATAGGAAGGAAGGAACTTCATCCTAGTGTAAAATCTCCTATAAACTATCTGAGCACATGGTATGTGATAGCCGATGGCATTTGTGCACAGATTTTACTTGATCACATATTAGATTTCAATTAATTGAGGATGGAATAGTTTCTCTAATTACTTCTTGACAGAGAGGTGTATATATACAGGATACATTCTGCAAGCAGTTGATAACTTTACTTGGAGTATTTCGTGACAGTACAGTACCCATTTGTTTGATTTCCTGGCTTAAAATGACTTATAAATAGTATAGTTTCTGATTTCTGTTTATGAATAATTAATTAGATGTTGCAATTATACAAAGGGTTTGGACCTCCTATTTCTTATCACTTGTTACTCAGGGCTATAGGCTGAAAATCTCAAGGACAGACAATTTGTTCATGTTTTTCCAGCTTTTATAAAGCTTATCAATTTACAGTCTGCTAACCAATAGTATATTGTTCCAAGAGTTTTCTTGAAAGGTTATGTCTTTGCTTTAGAAAGCATCTAGTTTGGGCTGTTTTCACTATTTGTATGTGTTTTAGTTAAAATTCTGACAGCAGCAATATGTTGAGGGTGGCGTGGAAAGACAAGTGGAAAAAGGAAGCTTTACAAAATAAGGCAGTTTTAGGTTTTCTGTACTAAAAAAGCTTTACATGCTTCTGCATATGTATTCTAATTTCAGAAGATCAGTTAATGTACCTGTATGGGAAGTAGATGAGACGTACTTGATTTCACTGTAAATAATTACCTTGAATTATATTTTTTTTTCTTTAATTGTTTACAGAATATTCACATCATCTTTTGTTCTGTTGGGAAATATATCTCTCTGATAAAGCTTGATTGTACAAACAGCTTTAAAATGAGTTTTCACAACACATGCTTTTAATGTCTTTTACAGTGTAATTTGCTGTAAAATATTCTAATTAGTTAAAGTAGAATTTTGAATGGGTAGCAGTCTTTCCCGTTATGACAGGTGTATTTTCTTCTCATTCCTTTGTTGATGTTGTAGCTTTTTTTTTGAAGGGCCATGGCTTAGAGAACAGTAACTTATTGCAGCGGTACGGAAATCCCTCCTGTGTGGTCTATATGAATAATGCTTTGAGCTGACTGGAATTAATACAGTTGGTTTGCAAATACCAACAGTGATTAGGAGACTAATTGCTAATTATACTGTCATTTTGCAAACATTTTCTATAGTATGACTAGATTTTTTTTTTATTAATCAGACAGTATAATCTTCCTATGCCACTTTTATGTTAATAGCCAAGATCTCTTGGGGTCAGTTGTGCTTCATGTAGTGACTGTCTGACTGATGGTGTGGTACCTATTGCAGGGACACTGACTGCACTGCAAAATGAACTACTGTTTGAGGTAATTTGTGTTCTGACTGAGTAGAATAAACTACTGCTTCATCAGTAGGTTTTAAGTAGATGCTAAAGAGAATTGTAAGAAACCTAAGATGAGGACGGCAGCACAGATTTGTGAATGGTCCCTGTTACGGAGGCACATAGAAGTGAAATGTGGGAAATAACTTTGCTCTGTTGCTCAGCAGAAAGGAGAAGAAAGTAGAAGCTCAAATGTAGGAACTAAAATAACTTGCTGTGAGAAAGATTAGCCTTGCTACACTTTTACCCTACTCTGGGTTTGAAGGCTAATCATCATGGGCTGATAGAGTTTACTGAAAACTTTCTAAAGGGTTTTGCTTGTTGTATGAAGTTTAAGAAGCTTCCTGCAGGGAAGCTAAGGATCCTGGGATGACTGTACTGGAGAGTTAATTGATTTCCAGTTTGGTTGAGGCCATTTACAAAGGATGGTCTAGACCTCCCTGCTAATGTCCTTGCTAAAACTTGAAGATACTATGTATTTTGAGATGTTGGGACTATAGCTGCTTGGTGTCTCTATACATATGGAATAGGAAGGAAAAGCTGCAGCTAGTCTGTAGAAAACTTGGTTAGTCTTAGAAAGACAAGCCCAGTTCTGATTACTGGTAACTGAGGAGAGGTTTTTATTTGGAAAAGTTTTACTCAGATGGATAACTGTGGGTAGCATGCTTTTTGCCTTGGAGAAAGTAGTTGTTGCATGTGTGTTTCATTTTGTGAGGGTTATTGACAAATTGGATCTCAATACATGTTGGGAAGAAAGGGCACAGGTGTATTGGGTTTGCATGGCCAGGTTTTGATAGCGGTGGGGGCTATAGGGATGGCTTCTGTGAGAAGCTGCTAGAATCTTCCCCCTGTCCACTGGAGCCGATGCCAATTGGCTTCAAGCATCAGTGATGGTGGTAGCACCTCTGCAATAACGTATTTAAGAAGGGGAAAAAGTTGCTGCACAAGAAGAGCAGCAGCAGAGGAGTGAGAATAGGTGAGAGAGACAACTCTGCAGACACCGGGTGAAGAAGGATGGGGAGGATGTATTTCAGGTGCCAGAGAAGAGATTCCCTTGCAGCCCATGAAGATCATGGTGACGCAGGCTGTCCCCCTGCACCCACGGAGGTTAACAGTGGAGCATATATCCACCTGCAGCTCGCAGAGGACCCCACGCTGGGGCAGGTGACTGTGCCTGAAGAAGGCTGTGACTCTGAAGGAAGCCTGAGGTGGAGCAGTCTGTTTCTGAAAGGACTGCACACTATGAAAAAGGACCCATGCTGGAGCAGTTTATGAAGAACTGCAGCCCCATGGGAAGAACTCATGTTGGAGAAGTTTTTGGAGGACTGTCTTCTGTGGAGGGACCCCATACTAGAGCAGGGGAAGAATGTGAGGAGTTCTCCAGTGGAGGAGGAACGAGCAGCAGAGAAAACATATGATGAACTGACTGCAATCCCCATTCTCAGTCCCCCTGTGCCTTTGTCGAGGAGTAGGTAGAGACAATTGAGTGTGAAGTTGATCCCGGGAGGAAGAGTGTTTTAAGTTTAGATTTTATTTCTCATTGCCCTACTTCAATTTTGACTGACAAAAAATGAAACTAATTTCTCCAAATCTGGTCTGTTTTGCCCATGATGGTAATTGGTGAATGATCCCTCCTTGTCCTTATCTCGACCCATAAGCCTTTTGTTACATTTTCTCTCTCCTGTCCAGCTGAGGAGGGGATTGACAGAGTGGCTTTGGTGGGAGCTGGCCTGCAGCCATGGTCAGCGCACCACAACATGCCACTGTAAATGGGAATAGTTATTACATGATCACAGTGAATGACTGCAGTGGTCTTCAGTGTGAATGACCCGCTTTCCAAATTTATGGTGAAATTTTAAACTATGTATATGTGAAGTATTTTTCTTCAGATAAACCAGACCTACAGACTAAGGATGGAGGAACTATTTTTAAATTGATAGTTTGAACTTTATTAAATTATAAATAAGTGTTAAAATAGCTACGTTTTGTTTTGTTTTTTTCCCAGCTGTAGCAGAAGTGAAACTTCGTGATGATCAGTATACCCTTGACCACATGCGTGCTTTTGGCATGTATAATTATCTTCACCTTGATTCCTGGTACCAGGATAATGTCTACTACGTTGATCAGTTTGGAAGGGTAATGAATCTGTCGGTGACTCTGGTAAGAATAAACTTTTTTTTAAAAAAATACTGAATTTGAAAAGATGGGGGTTAGATAAGGTAGGAGATATAGCAAGTAAGATCCAAATGCAAAAACTGGGGGAAGTTGTTGCCAGGAAGACAGGTAGGTTAACAAAAACGCAGTTGAGCAGGAAGAAAGAAAGGATTTTAAGTGAGGTTTCCAACATCTTTTCATTAATAGAATTGTGTTAGTATTGCAATATTATTGCATCTGCTTCCAGTCTGGAGGAGATAGACGTGGTGAGAAGCTGAAGAAAAGAGTGGACAGTTTTTCTAGTTGCTGGCTGTCCCTGTTACTTGATGTTTGTCTTTTTGCTACTTTGAAAGTTCAGTCCTTGTAGATATAAGGAGAGAAGGAATCTGTACGCGTTAAAATCAGAAATGCAAGCTGCTGATAGCTTAATCGAGGTATCATTTGTTGGAGCCAAAAAGATGCCGGTGGTCCTAGGCAGACTTGAAACAAAGTGTAAGCTAGACCAAGTCTGACAGTTCTCTGCTTTTATACTGATGTTTTTAAGAAGTCAAACTTTCTATATCTTTTGAGCCATTTTAATGCATGGATGCACTAGTTTCCATTACAAAGCTATTCTTCATTCTGGAGGCAAAAGGACATGACTCTATGGACACCGTGTTTCTGGTACATGGTATTGTAGTGCCCAATTGTTAAGGAATAAACAACCATGTGGAAAGGAAAATATCCATTGTGCTACCAAGGAATTTGACCTGTAACCCTGTGGGACAAATGAAAATACAAGTGCGATATGTGATTTTTTTTTTATTTATTTTTTTTGACTGAGTGTAGCTTACTCTGTGCAGCGTTTTGGGGATGGAAATTTCCAGGCCAGGGCTAAGCTGAGAAAAATCCCCAAATGGTAGTAGTAGATTTTTCTGGAAATACAGTTTTCCTGGGGATGGTATGCTGAGAAATGAGGCTGTAGAATGGTTCCTTTTCATAGAACATAGAAGCAGTTGGAGCCTTTGGCAGACTCCTGCTGAGACAGAATAATCTTCTGGGACTTCTTCCAGATGATCTCAAAAAATCTGGATTTCCAGTAGAAATGTCTAAAAGAAAGAAGCTTGTCAGGGAAAACCTTCTGCGAGCAGTGGCTTGTCACTATCTCACTTTTTTTGTTTGTTTTTTTTTCTGTTGTGGTTGGTTAACCTCGGCTGGCTGCCAGACACCCACCCAGACACTCTCACTCCCACTCTTCAACAGGACCAAGAGAAAATAAGACAAAAAAGCTTCTGGACTGAGATAAAAACAGGAAGATCACTTCCCAACTGCCATAATGGGCAAAACAGGCTTGACTTGTATTTATTGCCAATTAAAACTAGAATAGAATGAGAAACCAAGTCACACAAAGCTCCTGCTGGGAGCATGGGCATGGGCTTTCCATGAGCTGCAGTGTGGACATCTGCCCCACTGTGGTCCTCCCTGGATCACAGGGTGACAACCAGCTTCCCCGTGGTCTTCTCCAAGGGCTGGAGGCAAACCTCTGCTCTGGGCCACCACCTTGTCCAAGGGGCTCACCTGTTAGAGCCATGAAACATCTGTCTCCAGCTTGGGGCAGCCCTGACCTTGCCTCACAGACTGCCCCTGTGGCCACCACTGCCAGGACAACACGGACAGCCAGTATATTCCTCTATTATGAGGGCACCAAAATGTGTAAATTTCTTTCTTAGCAGATAAACTAGATAAAGGTTTTCACAACAGGCAGTGATTTGCATTTTTGTGTTTGGTAGATTGAAATACTAAGTATTCTTCCTTAGGACAGGTGGGTCTGTTGGAATCTTCAAGACAATGGCACTTGTTTTGTTGATATCTTGGTTGGAGTTTAAGTTCCACCCGACTGTAAAATAATAAATAGCCGTTATTGTGTTCTAGTGCACAATACGGTGCTGTTTTGCAAAGGAAACTGTTTGTATATGTATGAAGAAGAATGTGTGTTCGGAAACATCAACAAGGTATCTCATTACAAATGTGCCTGGCAATATATTAGTCAAATGAATATTACAAATATTGTTTTCTGCCAGGTGTAGCTTGTAAGTTAGTAATGGCTACAATTAAACTTGATGTCAGTCTTTCAAACAAAAGATGGAATAGATTAACATGCTTATCCTAAATCCAAAGTGAAAGAACACATAGGCTTTTAAGACACATAATTATTTCTAGTTCTGCTTGCTATTTTGGTTGCAGCTTTGATTCTAATTTGGTGGTGTGTTAGTTATCCATAAATAATGAATTATCCCTGCAGCTCAGATGTTTAAAAAGATGTTATCTGTGAGGGCAAAAAGTATCAGTAACCTTGCCACTTGCTCAGAATCCAGCAAAATTGAAAAAAAGAAGTGACCAACATGAGCACTTTTTCTAATTCGATGGATGAGTATTCGGGTGTCTTTTTTTTTTTTTTTTATATAGACTCGTAGAATCATTTAGGTTGGAAAAGACCTTTAAGATCATTGAGTCCCACCATTAACTTAGCACTAAACCGTGTCCCTGAGAACCTTATTTACACTTCTTTTAAATATCTCCAAGGATGGTGACTACCACTTCCATGGACAGCCCATTCCAGTGCTTAACAACCCGTTCAGTGAATAATATACAATGTAAGCCTCCACTGGCACAACTTGAGGCCATTTTCCTCTTGTCCCATCAGTTACATGGGAGAAGAGACCCACCCCCGGTAGCTGTAGAGAGTGTTAAGAGAGTTTTGTACCAGGTTGATGAAGTTATTACCCTAACTTGGTTGGAAATACTGTATAAAAGCTTTAACGTTCTTCTATTACAGCTACCAGACTTCTTTCATTCTGTAAACCAGCACTGATACTTTAATGTGTTAAAGTAGTAGTGTAGTGGCAGGATTACTGAGTTGGAGTTGTTTTGATTGTGGGGTTTGTCGCATCTGACTCGACTTTTTTTTGATGTTTTTAACACTGGAATATAGCTGAAAGAATATTCCGTTTTCTCCTCCAGCAATACTTGGACTCGATTTCTCAACCTTCAGCTCTTCTTGCAAAGATGAGTTACTCTTTATAATCCACCAATAAAATTGAGAAATTGTGGCAACAGTAACTCCTCTCACACTTAATTAAAACCCTTAATGGTGTCTATATTTTCATCTTTCTGAATTCCACTAAGAATTAGCTGTGGAATGCTATTTCTGTAGCTTTCAGTTGATTTCAATTCAGGACAACTGTTAGTGGCACCAGAAATGACATGGAAATAGGACAAGTGAGAATAAGGAAGCAGATAAAGTGAAAAACAACAGAATCTTTCAGATTTCTGTATCAAGATTTTAAATACTTAGCTTTGGTTGTTCAGAATGCTAGTTCTGGACATTTTTGATCCATTGGAGAGACATGTCAAATGCCTAGGCATTTTGGTTTTACATAAAACCAAAGTAATGTTTTTGTTATAGCTACTTTGTGGAAATTTGTATATAAGCTTGAGCCTTTGCTTTTTTCTTTCCTCTTTCGGTATGTTTTCTCTTTTCCCATTCCCTGTCTTTTCCTTGGAAAATTCACTCATTTTAAGTCTCACAAGAAATACCACTTGTTTGCTCAGTATAACAAACTGTTTGTGACTTAGGACCAATACAATTTCTTAATACATAAATTAAATCCTACAGGCATGCCAAGGAACCTGAGTAAAATTTCACTACTTAACTGTGTAAGCTAAGACATGCTTACTTTTTTTTGGAGCCTTGCATGGGGGAGTCAGGAACACTAGAGGGAAATTTTAAGCTTACATTTTACATTTTACGTCTTGTACCTGCACGCTGGGGAGGGACTTTTTACAAGAGTGTCCACCGATAGGATGAGGGTAAATGGGTTTAAGTTGAAGGAGAATAGGTTTAGATTGGAAATTAGGAAAAAAATTCTTCAGCACGAGGGTGGCAAGACTTTGGAATAAATTGTCCAGAGAAGTTGTAGCTGCCCCCTCCCTTGAGGTGCTCAGGGCCAGGTTGGATGAGGCCTTGAGCAACCTGATCTAGTTGAGAGGTGTCCCTGCCCATGGCAGGGAGTTTGGATTAGATGACCTCTAAGGTCCCTTCCCACCTAGGCCATTCTATGATTCTGAAATCTGGAACAGACAAACAGATCGACAGAGGCCAAAAGGAAGCAGAATATGCTATCAAGAAGTATAGAAGTGGGCAAAGCTAGAATTAAAGGCCAGTGGAAAAGATAAGAGAGAGACTTGGGCGTGCAAAATAGTTAAAGGAAGGATCTTTGTAGAGAAGTGAAAGGAGATGAAGAACAGGGTCTGACGCTGCATCTAGTTTCTCCTTAAAGAAACTGTTGCTGTCGTTTGAACCTACTTATAGTGAGTAAACCTGACTTCTCTTAAAGTGCCTGTAGTTTTAGTCCATTCTTCCTGGTATGATACGTGACTGCAGTATCTCAGCATCCCCTCATACTTCTGGAGTAGGAAATTACTATTAAACCCCGTTAACCAGCTGGTGAACAAAGAAACTAAGTCGAAAAGCCAATCTGATACAGAAGGGTTTGAGGACAGGTTTTGTTTTGACTTAAGTTCATCCTTAGCGTTGTTGGACTGAGATAAGAGACTATTTCACTAAATGCCTCAAGTTAAATTAGTGAACAGAAGGATTGTGAGTAAGAGCATTTACTTTCTTGACTATTGAGAGGAAGAGTCTATAATGTGTAATGAAGATTATTTTTCACTTTTTTACAGAGATATATTGAGTCTGACATTCCGGCTCAATGCTGTTAAATGTGATGTGAGCGTTAGAAGATTTAATGGTTGATAACTGAGGTTTATTTATTTATTTTTAAAATTGCTTCCAAAATTATTTGAAGCTTGCTGCTTAAGATTCACTTGGAGGCTGATACAAGTGTGGACTTCTGTAATGTTACATAGCATAGCGCTGTGAATCACTGTTAACAGGGATGATGGCTGCTTCCTTCCGTGATAACATGTGTGGGATTTTGGTGGGGTTTTTTTGTTTTTTTCTTCCTAGGCACTGTAGTCATTGCTAGTTTCTACAATAAAAGTGCTCCATTGTAAACACTGGCTTTCAGTGAAACCTTAAAATTAAATAAAGTATGAGAAAGCTAAAATTTGTATCTAGTGTTTGTGGGATTTTTGTTTTATCTGGGTTTTGGTTTGTTTTGGTTTTGTTTTTAATAGCTTCATTCTCCCCTCCTGAATGTGTTATAAATTAGTGATGTAGTTCAAGAGGTATAGTGGTGCAACTGAATCCACATAGTGAACGTGAATGCTTCCAATAATTAAAAACCAAGTCTGCATCTTTTCCATTGGAGGTTTCATAATAGCCCTTATGCCTTTCTGTAGTACCCAGTAATCTCAAATACCAAATCAAGTAGGCCCAAAAGGCAAGCAGACTTTCTGTTTGTCATCTGGTCTTTTTTTCTGTTGCTTATTAAAATGGTACTTAACCAAATCCAATTTCTCTTACTTACCTACAAACATGTTTTAAGTGCACATCTGATTTTAATAACATCTGGAAAATATGAAGGATTTAAAATCGCCTCCAATACAGGCGTCTTAACCAACAAGGCCACGACACACTTTGCATGCACAAATGTGCTCTTTCTGTACTGCATACACATGCATAAGTGCAAAGAACTCTTTTGAAAGTGTGTTTTAGTACATATGTTTTTGACTACCTTAGTTCCTAGATCAGAATGAGTGAGATTCTTTTACTACATGTGTATCTAGATGGTTCCCCCCCTCCTCCCTTGCTTGAGTGAAAATAGAGGGACAGGAAATGCTCAGAAAATATTATAATAATTTGTGGCTGAAATTTCAGGGCCTGTAATGAGACACTGTTTTAATCTGATACTTTTTCACTGCTATTTCTTAACCTCACGCCTCTACTGTAGCAAGAGAATGCATTTTGTGTGGCACAGAATAGATAAATTCTTGTTTCCCCTACCAGATTTTCAGTACAAAAATATGCTTTTTGTTTGCACTTCATTTTACCTAGAGCCTAGTGAAATAAGGCTCTCTGACCATTCTTTGCAACATAGTCTATTTGTTGTTCGATTAAGAAGATAGATTGGGGTTAAAAAAGGAAATGTTGATCAGTAAAGGCCAGTCAGACACCTTTTTTTCGAGAGATGACTGTTGTTCACATATACATAGGTAAACTAACCCGCAAAATATTTATGAAACCTCGTGTATCCAATTACGTTTCATTTATGATATATACATAAAACTGTTTGTGAGGTGAAGGGAAAAGACCATAACTTCGTGAGAAATGTTTATTTAAGGTACAGAATAGAAACAACAGGGAGTGGCTATGTTTGTTATTACCAGAAGACTTTTTTGGAGACTAGATCAGATCCTGAAGTCTGTGAATCAGTGTAAGGGCCAAGGTGGTGAATATATATTTTTATTCTTTTAAAAAAAAATTATTAGTGTCCACCATTTGTTATAGAATCACAGAACAGCCCAGACTGGAAAGGACCTCAAAACATCATATGGTTCAACTTTTCATGGGAAAAGGAGCCTCAATGAGATTATGCAGCACCCTGTCCAGTTGTGTCTTAAAAACTTCAAGTGTTGGGGCCTCTGCCATGTCCCTGGGGAGGTCGTTCCAGCCATTGATAGTTCACACTGTAAAAAAATTCTCTTATGTCAAGGTGAATCCTCTCCTAGTGCAACTTTTACCCCTTGCCACTTCTGTATGTGACTTCTTGTGAAGAGAGAACCTCCATCCTCTTACATAGCAGTCCTTTAAGTACTGGAATACTGGTGAATCTCTAGTCTGCCTTTTATGTTTTTCTCTTAAGAATATTTTGATTATGCTTTTAATACTGCAGCCTGATCTACTTTGTAAATAATTGACGAAGCTGTATTGCTAATAAAGCATGTCCTGACCCTTTTTAAACTGTGATAGCAAGTTCTTTGCAAATCATAAAGGTTTGATCAGGTTGTTTTTTGGTTTTTTTTGTCTAACAAGTCTCTTGGATATTCAGATATCACTTCAACTCACAAAAGGGAGGCAACTCCTAGTTCTAAACAGGCAGCAGCATTTCTGGCATTCTGCAAGCCAAACAATGAGCAAGGAGTTACAGACCCTTATTCAGCAAAGAAAGGGCTGTAGGTGAGAGGGAGTGCACAAGTTAAAGAATAGTCCCTAAAAGATATCATGGAAGACATGCCTTTGGTACTTAATTTGCAGCATGAAAGCAGTTTCTTCTGCTAGAATTAGCAGGAAATGAAGAAGGCAACACAGAACTACACCAGGACTTCTGAGAACTAGAAGTTCTAGGTATCACTGGAAATACAGAAATATTCTAGTATATAGAAATACAGATAAAATTGGTAATCTAACGTTCATTTTGCACTGTTATGCAGTTGGGCTGATTGTGTAAAGTTTATATGGCAGGTAATACAGGATTTTATTTTTTTGGTGCGTTTTTTAATTTTTTTAATTTAGTGATATGTGTAATTTTCTAAAAATCTATATGTCTTTATTGTTCATTGCAGAGAATTATAACATCTCTGCAATTTGCTCACTGTTGTATCCCTGCTCATGCTCAAAAACTATTCATGCTTGGACTTTGGCTTAAAAAATACGATTGCAGTGTGCCACTGATAGAGCATAGTAAATAAATGTTGCCTGATGTGTAGTGTAATCTTAATGTGATGGAAAAGTTATTTGCAGATATTACAGGAATTAATACAGTTTTTCTTTGCTAGCTAATCACAGTTATTACTTTTCTAACTTACTGAATAAAACAACACCTTTAGGAAAGCTGAGAAATGATATGTCAGCTTGAACATACCAGTTGTGTGAGAGAATAGGCTAAAATTCTGTTTAATTTAGAAGTGAGTTTTTACAAACTAGTTTTACAGTTCTGTGACTTTTTTTTGAAGTCTCCACATTTTTGCTGGGACTAGAATTATTTGAGGTGATTAATTGTAGGGGAATGCTAGGGGAAAATAAGTGAAAAGCCTTTCTAAAATTCAAAATGTAATTAGTGCTGTAAAATGGAAAAAAAGAAATTGAGTGCTGAAATATCAATTATAGAACACTTGTGTTTTCAGTAAAAGAGATTAACTCAGTGATCAAATTCTACCAGCTTTTCAACATATGTGGGAAAGATGGTTGCTACCTGCTTTTTTCCATATAAGCTCAACTGCACAAAGAAACTGGTGAATTGTCACTGAGATTTGTTATTCTTAATTTGTCTGTAATACTGAAATTGAAAAATATTTCATGAAGTCTTAATGCGTGACTGTTGGCTTACAGGACACTGCTCTACAAAAGCCGAGAGAAGTTTTCAGGCTGCCTACAGACATGACAGCTTACGACGATCGCCTTTGTGCCTCAATACATTTCTCCTCTTCGACATGGGTTACCCTTTCTGATGGTACAGGAAGACTCTATTTAATTAAATCAGGCAAGCGTGGAAACAGTGCCTCTGAAAAATGGGAGGTAAGTCTTGCAATAATGTATTTAAGAACTGTATGTCTACCAAATAATTCTGATTTCGGGCATTTCTTACTGCTTGTATGCAATGCTGTGAAGAATTAATCCTTAAATCATGACTGACTTGCAGGTGCAGGATTGTGTTCAAGTATAGAAGGCATTGATTTTATAGTAATAACTTAATGTTTTCTTTATGCACAAAATATCTAAACTTCAGTTGTTTGAAAGGGAACAGCCTTTTAACTGAACATCAAAGTAAAAGTGTTTCTAAATAGGTGACTAAGTGCTTGTTTAGCTGAACTTTTTTAAAAAACTATTTTCCCTTTTCCTTCCCTATTCGTATGTGCCTGTCTAGGATTTTTTGCCTATCCTTTATTGTTTGCTATTTCAGCTGGCCTGTGGAGTAGTATTTTTTCTTTTAAAATCTGAAATAATTATAAACCCAGCTAAAAGCTACATTTGTTTTACAGTTAGGAGATTTCTGGTGTGTCTGATGTTTGTGCACATGTAATTGTGCGTGAAATATTCACCATTTAATTTGCCCCATCTTAAAAGTACATTCACAGAAACCAGAATAAAACTTAAATAAAATTCCTGGTTAAAAAGCTTTGATAGTAACCCTGGGGGTTGCCTGCAGAGCATTTATAATATAAGCAATATTATTTCCACCTCTCTGGAAGGAAAATACTTCATAGTGTGTACTTAGCTCTGGAAAATTATTGGTGCTTAATATTTTTACTTAAAATTGTTGGTTGTAACTGAAGTATGTTTTTATGTTTCTCATTATTAAATTCTTTACATAATTATTTGCTTTAAAGAGTCTTCATAAGGAGCTTTTATTGCATCCGTATCAAAATTATTTTACTACGCTAATAATGGTGTTGGTTATCTTGCTTGGAGACATGAAATATAATGAAGTTACGTTTTCACCTGAGCTGCTGTGAGTCTTGTGGTCTGTGATTAGTTCCTCCTTAGTCATGAAAGATAAATCTGTTATTTTCTTTATTAGAGGGCAGTTTCCTAGGCGGTCAAGGAAGTTTTAGTATTGGCAGGAAGTCAGGTATATGTCCTGAAGTTGAAGATTTCAGCATGGTGGATTAGCTGCTTCCTGTACATCTTTCAAGAGTTCAGTATCTGGGAAATTGGGGATCCTGTTCCTTAGATGATTGGCAATAAATACTGATTGTTTTTTAAACTGTTCGGTGTGAGAATGCTGGTGCATAAATAAGATTCAGTGGAGTTGTCAGTGTAGCAAGAATATAAGATTTGTATGCTGTGGTTCTGTCAGCATAGAAATCCGCTTCTTGCATATTTAGACCTGATGATTTACAGTGATGTTCACATCCCAACCCCAAAAATCCTCAAACCTTACCAGGTTTTGGTAACAGGTGGGTTGAGCCCGTACTCATTTAGCAGCGCAGCTTGAATTCATTCTCATTTATTCTTTCATTTTTGTATGTTAGCACTCTAGCAAATAGTGTTACATTTCGTCTCTGCTGTTTAGATTCATTTTGGTTTTATCTTCTTGAGCTTTTTGCTGAATGAGTTCTTTTTTTGAGAAAAACTGCAATACCTAGTTTCTAGAATTAAAACTTCCAGCTTTAGGTACCAAATGTTAAATGTCTCAAGGTGCAAGACTTGGAGTCCTTCTGTATGAAAATCTTTCATGTGTACAGTGGTGCTTGTTGGCCTTTCGGTGTGACAGTAGTATTTGTATATTCTGCCAACGTTGTCCCATCCAAATATCGGGTGGACTTTTCCAAGATTATATATAAAAATTCAAAAAATTCTAATCCGAGCTCCTCCTAAACATGATATTATACTCTTTCATTTAATTATTTTTTTTCTTTCTTACTCTGCTTCATAAAACTTCATAGAGAAGGAGAATTGATTTGAGAGAACTGGTTGATCATTAAACACCAGCAGCGACGCACTGCGCCTTTTTATCTTCTTGTTTGCACGTGTCAAGGTCTACAAAGATTTTCAGGATATTGGAGTGTCTAGAGAAGTAGCGAGCGCCTGGGTGGGATGCCTGTGATTTCATTTTGAGTGTGAGATTGTTTCCCCCAGCTGGTGTGCTGTTGGATCCTGTTCTGTTCATCAGTTGTACCTCTACTTGGTGTAGTAGTAAACAGCCATAATGCAGACAGTTTTCTGGATCTTTGCACTTTATTTAATGGGCCCTTATAATGATTTTATAATATAAACAATAATAAAAAAAATACATTTCAGAACAGTGGCTTGATAGCCAAGGAAGGAGGAACCAGAAATGTGACATTCATGGATTAATATAGCAGGAAGGTTTGTGGGAATCAAACTTTAACTGATTTTATCTTCACTGAAGCCTCTCACTGCTTTCTGAGAAAGAGCAAGACTTCCAGTTTTAACTGACATTTTACTACAATTTTGTCTTCTAGATTGTGTTTAATGAAGAACTAGGAAGTCCATTTATTATAGCACACAGCGTTTCCTTTGTAAAATCTGATACACATTCAATAGCTGTGTTGTTGCTTAGGGTAGAAAAAGATGAATTGGACACAAAAGGAAGTGGATTTCATATTACCTTGGAATGGGTTACAATTACAGAGATACACAAAGAGGGTGAGTGTTTTACATTTATATTACTGGAAATGTTTAAAAAAACCCCCATGCTTTTATTATATGTTTGAGTATTTGGTTGTTCCTCAGGTTCTGACATTTTCTTTTCCCAGAATTTCAGCTTTTTTTTTACATGGGTTATTTTTTCATATATTTTGAGATCAAACTATTGATAGTAGATCTGAATTCTGGCAAACATTTGGAAGACAGGAAGAAGTAAAATTTTATATGTCTATGGTTATGGTAATTAGAAAACACAACAGAACTTTACTTTGTAACATTGTGTAATGCAATTCCTGTTTAGCTTGATCTTGTGAAATTGAGGTTATACAGAACTATTTTTAACAAATGTCTGTTGTACTTTTCAAAATGTTGTGCAGCTGGATATGGGATTTTTTTTTCCATCATGTTTTGGGGTTTTTGTTCGTTTCTGGTTTTGTATCCTCAGTGTTGTGGGATTGAAATTAGTACGAGATAAATAAAAGAACTTTTTACCTCATGTTTTAAAAAGAACTTACGACAAATGTTCATGGAATGAAATTTCTTCCGTAACACTGGATTTAAAAATCTCCCCCAAAATCTTGCAAGTACTTCAGCATTTCCAAGGAACAGATAATTTTTGTAATGAGTCAGCAGAGATGTAAATAACAAACTGCAAAGCAAAGAGAAAAATAAATTTTTATTTATTTTAAATAAACATCTCACAAATCAGAGTCTTGTATAAACTAGTCTTGAAGATAAGAACTGTTTTGAGGAATTACAATACTTTACACCCTCTTTCATCAGTGGGCAATTGCTGTGCTTAATTTTTCTTGAATCTCTGCCTGTGGGTGCGGTTTATCAAATCAGACAGTAGTGAAAATAGTTAATTAACAAGCCATTCCTCCAATTACCAGAATCTTTGTCAAAGCAAAGCCTGAAAACAGAGTTAAGTCTCTTAACAACAACAACTGTCAGAGTCTCTGCTGTGCCTGGTTGAGTAGACAAAGTGATCACACCTAGCAGTGTTGTTATTACCAAAGAGAAAAAAATGGAAGCGTGAAAATAGATCTGAATGGAAGCAGTGGTTAGGTCTGTTCAGATCTGGTATGTTACTTCAGAGGGCTTGTGACAAAGGTGTACCCTTTCAAAGTTTGAAACCTTGATATGAAGAACCACCACGCTGCTTTATTAGACTCAGAAAATGTTGCATGTTAAGCTTTCTTCTGGCCTTCTTTACAAGAAAAATCATGTAGTATAAACTCACTGAAAAGATCATGAAGGCTCACTTAAAAAATGTAAAAGTGTTCATGAGTGATGGAAAATATTCTACAAAAGGTTTGGTCACACAATGACAAGTTGTGAGGTTGCAGAGCCTTTTAATAAGCCTTTTAGATGCTTTAAGAGAGACGTGAAAACAAATTTGGTACGTTTCAGTGCACAGTTAAATGACAGCTCCTTCCATGAGCAGCTAACTTCCCCCTACAACAGACATCCTCCTTTTGATCATGTATCTAAGATGTAATTTGTTAATCTTCTAAAGCAGGTAATCCTGTTGCTTGGAGTCTTCTGTCTGTATAGATATCCTACTCTGTCTCTGATCAGAATGGTTGAATCTCTTCAATTAATATCACCCCCCCATGCCAACCAGACTTTTCATGAAAAATAGAGAGGCTTTAATTAACACCATTAAGAACCACAGTTACGTTATAGTTTGGCAATTACCCTTTAATCCACTTGTTGCTTAGCAAATAGGATAACTAATTGAGAGAATTTAAATTATACCTGGCTTACCCATTATTATCTGGATTCTCCTACGGCTTCAATGTTTTCTCTAAGCTTAGCATTGAGGTGAAACAGGAATGCATTTTCGAGTGCTAGAGTGGCGTAGATGATTTTTTACCATTACAGTCTGGTCTTGTCTAATGTCCCTGTTAATGAGTTCCCAGTTTCTTTCAAGTAAAGTTGTAGTTACAAGTACAGTGTTTTCTTTTAGTGAAGAAATTAAGCAAAAATATGAAAAATAAACAATTCCTGTGGATAATTTTACCACCTGTGAGCATTTTATCAACTTGCATGAGTTTTTTTTTTGCTGAAAACTTACTTGTGTAGTCTGTTATACTTCAGAAGCCAATCAGTTACTGAGGACTCTGTGAGCAGCGGGATTCTAATGGAAAAAGAACAAATGTTGTGCTAGAACCTATCATCTTTGAGTCATTAGTCATCATGTTTGGGAGCACAGTAGGGAACGGCATGGTCCTTGGCACCAGTAGGTACCACCTGGGACCTCTCCTTTAAAGGAGAGTGTTTTACAAAAGTTGAGGAAGCTGGGCACTTTCCATTACCACTAGCTATTTCATTGTTTCTCAGGTTTTTACAGTAGTTCAAAAAGTGTTTGGAAAACTTGTTTATACAGAGGCTGTGAGTGGTTTTGTGAATTACTGAGCTAGCTGTGATCAGCGAAGAAGAAACGTAAGAAAGAAAGAAGAAATTTCATAAGAAGAAACAGCAGTAGATTAATTTTAGAGTCTGCATATTTAACAAACTCATTGGAAAACAAAAAAAAATCTTTTTAAAGTCAGGTGCTGTGATTTAACTGGTAGGATTGCTTGGCAATTTGAAGTGCACTGAGATTCTCATATAATAATTTGTCTCCTAGAAAAGTATTACCGCTAAGATGTTATTTTATTTTTTTCTATTTTAAAGGTGATCATAGGTATGAAATCTTTAAAAGGAGAGTTTTACAAGGAAAATCAGTCCCCCATTATGCAGCAATAGAGCCGAGCGGGGATGGTCTAATGATTCTTTCCTACAAACCATTCAAATTTATGCAAGATGAAGACAACGAATTAGAAGAAAATGATGACACAAAAGCAACAAATGAAAAGAAAGGTGAGACTTATGTGACAGATTATGATAGGCTACTCTCTCATTTGGCTTGTCAGTTTAGGAGTTTTTTGGAAACTGTAGAAATACATGTTTATCTTAAAAACATTTTTGTGATTTTTATTTTTTTAAGGACAGATTGGCTTTTATTTGTTTTTACACCTGGAACTTGAATTACGCATAAACCCATATAAGAAGCTTTTTCAGATAGGAGACACTTAAAGAATTTTGCTACCCTATGGAAAAGGATATTTTTGCAAACAGAACTATAGTGAGGTATTTGCTAGCCGTTATATTGACAAGGTAACACCTAAATTTAGGCATCTGGCTGAAGTACTCAAATGAAGAAGCCAGTCTTCCTAGATGAGAGAGGGCATTCACTCCCCAACATTGTTGTTCATTAGAAAGCTCTCTGATATGTAATTTACTCCTGCCTTTGTAAATTAAAAAACAAGACAAAACTCAAAAAGCCAACCCTTCTTCTGTTTAAAGAATGAGAACTCTGTAAAAGATTATATTTTCTCAAGTGGGAAGGCAGTTCAGAAAAAATAATAAACTTCAGCAGAAGACATCCGTACTATTTCTTCAAGATCAGAACAAAATTAAGTATTTAAAAGTGTATTGATAAAGTTGTTTTATCATAAATATCACTGAGTTCTGTAATATGTATGTTTATGTAATTGTATTATTTCAGATTTGATTTTTTGCTACTGAATGTGAATCATTAGTTAATTAATCAATCCTAACTGAATTATAGTAACATAATCTTTGTTAATGGTGCAAAAATCTCTTAGGAAAACAGTACAAGTAAGTCATTATTCTGGAATGTATTAATGTTACACACTATGATAACTGTGATGTTGTCCATCTAATTGCATTAAAGATACTCTACACATATAAATCTTGAGGCAAAAGTGTCCCTGAGTGTGCTGAGCACCGTAATGCAACGTCTATGCAGCTGTAGCTGCTTCAGTGAAGAGCACTGTATGGCTCTTAGCGTAGCTCATTTCATGCATGTGTGTGCACTTGGAGAACTGCCAAAACCCAAAGGTCTGTAATTTGTGGAGAGCTGTTTGCAGCAGTACCTTTAGAAAACTCTTCCTGACACAAAAATGTAATGGCAGAGAAAGTACTGAAACCTGAACTCTTAGTTTAGAAAGAAGTCTAACACTTCTTTAAAAGAGAATTTGTCTTTTGCTAAACCTAGTGTAGGCTGTAATTTTAGTTGCAAGGTTATATGAAATTACAGGCATAATAGGTATCAGATAATGAAACAAGATGTGCTAGCAACAGAACTCTAATTTTTATGAGTTTAGAACAGTAGATAAATGTTAAAGCAGTTATGTTGCGTAGCAATATTTTGGATTGTAATTTGTTCTTTCATAGTCTCCTCTGCATATGTTCAACATTATGAGAAGGCCAGGGAGACAGGAAGTCTAAGCTACTTTTCTGGTGTCATTCAGTTTTTTTACCAATTAAAAAACTTAAGATCAGAGACCATCTGTGTCAAAATTTAGAATTTGGAAGGCTATCATATCTCAGATACTAATAGTTTCTGGGAATTACATTTGGAGCACCTGTGACTGATTCGTTGCAAACAGGAAGCTCGTGGTAATGGACAACAGTGTACGAGTCCTTCCAGAGTCACAGCTGCTGACATGAAGCTGAGATCAGTGAAAACTTGTATAGTGTTGTGGCAACTTGAGAGCTTCCAAAGCTGTCCATACTTTACTTTTTCTCTAAGTCGGAAGGTAACTCATACAAGATTGCTCTTCAGAAAATGAATGCATCTGTGTTTTGTGTTTGCTGTGACCAATGGTGCACTACCCAGTCATGCTGTCATAGCCTTCCTTTGGTATAAACATTTCTCTTAAAGGCCACTTCATGTAGTAGTTCAATAATCAAGACAGACATCAGGCAGATTCTAGACCCAAGAGCAAAAGTCAATCGTTACCTCTGGGCAGGCAGTTTCATTTCATTGCCATCACCCAAGGCAGATGGAGACTACTTGGTCTTCCAAAATCATTTCTGTTGAATAGTCAGTGTAGCTTCTGGCAAAATAGGTAAGAAAAAATTTTCACATCTTTGAATGGCGTATATTTCTGAGCGTGCAGTAGCCTGTCAGTACTGCTTCACATGGTGTCTGTTTAACCAAATTATTAATCATAAAAGTTTCAATGTAAGTACATTTTGGTTATCAGTTTTGTAATGCTGCAATAAACTTAGAGTAATAGTTAATGCTCATTGTGTAACTGTCAGTGTGTTTGAATATAGACATAAATATAAACCCCACTCCAGATAAGAGATACAAATGAACTTTATTCCTAAAAAATATTTCTCTGTTTTTTTTTAAATCAGAATATATTTTATGTAAATTGTTCAGCGTGGAAGTTTATTTCCACTCTTCCAGAAACGTCTTCCATATCTCCCAGCACTGCATGCTGTGCAATCCAGGATGGCGTTTGCAATCTGGTTTGTATTTTTCCTGTATGTTCCCAATTGCAGACCCTCTCTATTACTGGCAGCAGACTGAAGATGATGTGACAGTAACAGTTCATGTTCCTGAAGACATCACTAAGGATGACATAAAAGTACGCTTTTTCCCTGATAACATATGTGTTGCACTGAAAGACGAGTCTCCTTTGATAGAAGGAAAACTCTATTCATTTGTGGACCATGAAAGCTGCACGTGGATAATTAGAGAGGACAAAAGGTAGTGTGTATGTTTTTTAGTTTTCCCTATTGATAGGAATTGATTTCCAAGTGTGTACCGTGTCTCTGACTCCTAGCCCTGCTGGGAATGGACTCGTTTAATGCTAACCCCGGCATCCCTCTTTACCAGAATCTCTCTCCTCTGCTGAAAATAGTTCACTGGCTTTTGCAGTACTGTCTCACAATACTGTTGCTTTAGCTAATTGTGAAAGTAATCCCCTTCTCTTACAGTTGGTTACCCTGGTGATAAGCGATGTGACCAGCTATTTTCTACAACCACGTAGAACAGCCCTTCCAAAATAATAAAATCTTTAATTTCAGGAAAAAGGCCTTATGTATAACTGATGTTACTGCCAGAGCTGTACCTGTACTACACCAGGAAATTAGGAGTTTCAACCACTGAGCTGTGAAGCAGAGTCCTTTGCAACATTAGGAATATATCGATGCTCATAATGTTAACCTCCTCGTGCTGTTTTCCCATGCTTTGTCCGTGTTTATTGGCAGCCAGAGTTAATGTCCTGTTCTGATGTTGTCAGTTATGTTTCTAGAACAATATTTGGTGATATGACCTGCTAGAGATTAACCCCTGAGAGTCGGTATTACGACTTGTTCATTTTGTGGGGTTTTTTTTATTCTTTTTGAGAATAATCTTGTCCATTCACATCTAATTGATCACAGTGGAAAAATGAGTAGGTAAACTGCAAAATAATTTTCATAAATACAGTGTATTATGTAGTTATGAAACTTTGGTGATAAATTTAGTAATATTTTTAAGTACTAAAGAAAAACTACATTTTCTAAATGGCCAGAAAAAAATAGCCCAGGTTTCAAAATGTTGTCTAGTTTTTATACTCTGCCTGGGCTGAAGCACATATTCATTCCCCCCATAGTGATCTGGTAAACTCAAGAGACATGTTCACTCTCTTTCAATGAACTCAAGAAACATTTATGCCGCCAGTTGATCCACTCAACTGTTGATATTTGTTAATCGAAAGCAAAGGCCACCTTTTGTGTTGAGTTGAAGTCAGCTTCTTTGCATTATTCCTGTGGCTTCATGGGCACATCCCCTTGCCCATCTCCACTGGTGATCTTAACGCTGCAGGTGTTTGTCCACACTCCACTCGCAGGGATTTATTTAATCTGTCACAAATTCTGTGACATGTAACACTGGTTGCAGGCTGGAAGTGACTCGTGTGGATAATTCTGTAAATGCAGAACAGAACTGTAGGCTAAGTTCTCAACCAAAGAAGTTGCTTAAACATAAGCTAAAGTATAGGGTAAAAGGATGCTGACTGATGGGGGAAGGGAATGCAAGGAAATGAATCAGTAAGTAAAACCTCGTTTTGAGTTTTATTCTTCAAATATGGTTCATGACGGAGTTTGTCATGGATCTTCCAAAAAGTATAAGAAAAGCGAGAAGATCTATCAGTATATAATATGTATTTAGACATTTACTGCTTTTGCTGTCTCCTAGGATAAAGTGCTGAGCCACTATTTCTTGAAACAAGCAGGTTTGGTTAAATGGTTGCTAAAGAGTAATATCCATGTATGGTATCATCACGTGAAGAAATATAAGAAGAAAGCTTTTTCTGTGGAAATAGATAATAGATAATAGAAATAGAAATAGATATAGAAATAGAAATAGATAATAGAAAATATTTTTTCTCACTGGAAGAGTTTTGTAAATACTCTGTGATAAAGGACATAAATTTAGCAAAATATAAACTTGCCTACCTCATTAAGTGTATTTATCTTTTATCCAAATCAAAACCAAATCCAAACCGTAGCATCACACGAGCCATCACATCTAGTTGGACTCAATGATCCTCATGAGTCTCTTCCAACTTGAGATATTCTGTGATTCTGTCATTTTCCTTTGGTTTCCTTCATCAGAAAACTTGGCTTTTTTTCCAAAGGGTTGACTGTAAAAGATAGTCTCCAAAAGAATGAAATTGAGGAACTAATATTTGTATATAGATAATACTGATACTGCATGCTAAAATGTGACTTTTCAGTTGTTGTCTGTCAGGTAGAGGACTGTCATTGTAGAATCTGTAATTGTATCTAAAATGTGAATATAATAAACCTAACTCTTTCTGTCATTATATCCATGTGTTGGTTCATCTGCAGTGATGAAATGGAGTTGCTGTGTTAGGCTAAGTCTCTTGTTTTCTGTATGTTGAGTTAGTTACTCCTAATGGTTATATTGGATTTTCGTAAGGTTTTTTTTTTTGCTTTGTTTTAAAGGTTACAGAAATTGTACCTCTTCCGAGGTATGATTTTAGATACTCAATGCAGATAATTAACTGTTGTAGTATTTCTAAGGTCCGTAAAATAACAAATATTTTTATCCTACATGTCATATAAAGGTAGTGCACACTTAAGTAGCCCTATTAAGTACTTCGTAGGTTTCTAACAAAGATCTGTAGTAAATTTTTGTCACTCTGAATAGATTTCTTTACAGGTCATCTATGGTATTTAAAATATTTTAATAAGACTGCTTCAGGGGAAGCTACATTTACATTGAAAACTCTGAGGATGCTTACATGAATACGTTCTCTTTGGTTTTAGGCTTTTAGAAATCACATGCTGTTAGTCTGTTTCTTTAGAATATTTTCTGTCAGAATAGTTTATCTCATAAATTGCTAATGGTTTTTGTTCTGTGATTTTACATAATAAATTCTTTTCAAAGAGGAGGAATGCTCAAAACTACATTTAGAGCTTTTTGACTAATCTGAGAACTGGATACAGTGTTTTCATGTGCTATTCCTTGTCTTTATTTGCATATTTTAGTTTGGAAATTTCTCTAATTAAGAAAAATGAGGGACTTCGGTGGCCAGAGCTAATAGTTGGTGACACAAGAGGGGAATTCATTATGGACTCTGCTCAGTGCTCTGAAATAGCTGAAAGCCTGATGCATCTTACCTCTGAAGTCATGGTAAGGAGTCGAAAAGAAACCATTTAAAATTCGTGTACATTTTGTGTTGTCTTTTCTTGATATCCTAATACACACTTTGTGGACATGGCTTATCAGCTCATTTACTACTCGGAATCCTCGCTTTGCATTCATTTTTAAATGAAAGTTAAAACTAATGGCACTAGAGTTGTTAATATACTTGGAGCAGTCATATCATCTTCATGGGGGGCTGAATTTAGCTTATAGGATACAGTGAAAATAAGTTTTGTTCTCACACTTGCTTTGTGGCAGTTTGTTTTAAAGCGAGATTTAAGTAACTTTGAAGGATATCTGTTTCTTGTTTCTCAATAGGTTAACAACACTTTAATACTGATTTCCTAGGGATACTGTATTTGTCTTTAGACTGTAAGTGTAAATGGCATTTTTAAAGGAAAATTTAGGAAAGCATAAGTATGACTTGTGAACTTTCTGACATTACTATGGGTCTGTGATTACTGCTTATAGAGGGCATCTACTTGAAACATAATGTGATTTTTTTACTCCTATTTGCTTGATACTTTCCCTTTTGATTTGGTTAGAAAATGACATTTCATGTAAAACTTGTGAAGTGTGACTCCCCATGGGTCTCAATATATTAATTTTGGATTATTATGTTTTTTTAATAAGACTGAAATGTGTTGTTAAAATAAATTACATTTAGTTCTCTAGATTGATTTCTATCTTCTTTCCCTCGTATTTGTAGCAAGATATTGTAGCACATCTTTTGATTATAGGTATATTGGGAACTTCAAATTTCTTTTATTTGTGACTCAGTGTGCTTAAAGTGATTTCCTTTTTCTTTTTTTTTTGTCACAACTTTTCAGCTTGTATGCAATAATAATCATGTAAAAAAACCCCAAACAAAACCCACTTTCCTTAGGGAACTTCATTTAAATAAATATTACATATTTAGTTATACTACAAACTAGTTAGCTACAAATGTTTAATAAAGACACAGGATTCTTCTTGATCATCTCAATTGCTTATGGTAATGGTGTTTACCTGGAAGGTTTTTTGGAAAGACACCCAATGAAACAGTAAACCAAAGGCCATCAAGAATGCTTGACAGAGAGGAAGTGAACCTCAAAGTCTAGCTTCTACGTTTAAAGACAGATACCCTGTTTTAAGTCACGTGCATTAGCCTGCAGTGTACGACAGTTTTCCTGGTTTCTGTCGTTTAAGGATATTCCTTTGTTATCTCTTCATGTGTGGTTTCTTGGAACCTGTATTGTCTTAGCAATTAAAAAAGTAAACGTGATCTCCTTCACATTGTGGACTGAACCAACATAAAAGTTTGTAGTAATCAGCAGAAATAGATGAGGAAATCACAAGAACTCAGTATCTTGTCGCTGTCAGATGTGTTGAGTCAGTGACCTCTCTAATCTTTCCTTACACAATCGGTTTGGCTTCAGCTTTCAGCTTATATGAGCGGTCAAGATGGTGTCGTTTTTGTGCAAGAGGCAACATTATTCATGCTTAATGAGAAAGTGTATTCTGTTAAATAAAGGTCCCTTTTTGTTATCATTAAATTAGTTCTTTAAATACATCACAAAAGTAACATAGCTGGGTTGTATTGAAAATTATCCAAGGAAGATATCCTTAGCAGGAGTAAACTGTTTCTGTATGCAGTTATGTCTTGCTCTTGAATTCATAGTAAAAATGATGGGTTTGCCTTTTTTTTTTTTTTTTAAGCTTGCGGGATGTGGAAAAATAAATGTGCTTTTTTTCTTGTTCCGGGTGCACTGAAAAAATATGCGTGACAACTTTATTAATTTTAAATAATTATTAGCAAAGCTAAAAGCATATATTTAGAGCTACTTACAAAATAAGTGAATCCATTTTTTAATAACACATCCAATGGCAATCTGAAAAAAGCTTACACTGATGTAAATTTAGTAACCCACCATAGATTTTCAGAGTTGTTGTATACTTTTATATTTTTTCCACTTACAGAAGGGAACTAATTGTCCATGTTTTAGTGGCTTAGGTATTTCTCCTTATACTGAAATGAGTTTTGTTGTACCTAGCTCTCAGCAGTATCCTGCACAAGTGAAATATGTCTGTTCATTTTGATTAAGTACATAATATTGTGATCCTTAAGTATGGAAGGATATACAAATGATTCTTCTTGTAGTATTGAAATTTTTGTTAGGAAAAATGATTTTTACATCTATATATATGTATGTATTTTTGGTGTCTCAGATTTTCAGTGCAATTCACTGTCTATATTTCAGAATCCAAACCCTGAAAAGGAAAACCCTCCTTGTAACGCCCAAGAATTAGAAGAATGTGATGCTTTTCTTGAAGATGGCGCAAGCTTATGTAGATTTGATGGTGATACCTTGAAAGTCACTCATGTAGTAAGTGCTGCAAATTGTAGCAGAAGTATTTTAAACTGTTGACATTTCATAATTTTAATTTTCTAACTAATCCTTGCTCCAGTGCTTACCAGCTTTTACTGTGGAGGGACAGTATTTCTTTCCCTGGTGGCACTGCAGAAACCCAGGTGTGATTACTTAGAATCTTTTCCTAACATCAGAAATTGTAAGTTGGGATCCTCTGTCCTAGAAAACCATTTCTACACAAAACACGTTCCCATTTGCTTGTGTAGTGGACATAACACTTCCCTAAATATTATCCCAAGAACTTTCATAGCATCTGCTTGAAATATATTACCTACCTGTACTGTATTGAGCTGTTGGTCAGTGGGATGCAGCACTGTATTCAAATATTTTGTCAACTAACCAACACGAAGGTGTTGATCATTTCATTGTGGCAATGTGTGACAGAATATGCTCTTTGTGCTTTGAATCAGTGTTTTGTTTTTCTCTGGTTTGTTCACAGATTCATCTTGGAAGCAACCAGTATCTTTTCTCAGTTGTTGTGGATCCCAGAGAAATGCCATGTTTCTGCCTGAGGCATGATGTTGATGCTCTTCTCTGGCAGCCTCGCTCTGACGAACCAGAGAACATGTGGGAACACATTGCAACTTTTAATGCTCTAGGTAGGAAATTAACTTCTATGTCACATTCCTCTGTCTGAAACTTTAATACCTGAATCCTCATAGTATAGCTTCTGTTGGTATTTCACTTAACTGAATTGAAAGGTACTATAATTCTGTTGATAGCAGCATAGTAACTTAATTTTAGAAATATTAGAACATAAGAAATAAAATATTTATGCCTTAAGAGGAATATAAGCCTTTTCAGAGCATATACAGGATTCAAGCAGAGTACTCCACAGTAAAATGAAGAGTTCTTTGAGTACGTGAACTGCAGTGAAAAACTTTAAAGCACAATCACCACCTTTATACTTACACAGAAATCATCAAGGAAACAGCTGCAGCTCACTGATGACATGTCTAGGTGTATGTATGCTTATGGTAAGATGTTTTAATAAGGTTTTTCCTATCACATTGTCCCAGGTGACAAATCTGAAGAATTTGACATAATTATTCACTTTTTCTTCTGCTATAAGAGTTAGAAGGAATCAAATGATACTTGTACATAGCAGGTTCAAAATAGAAACTAAAAGAAACATTTCACATGTGTACATATAAGCTGTGGAACTCTCTGCCACAGAACTTCCTGGGCATGGGAAGTTTTCATGAATTTGAAAAAAAGAAATATATTAAAAAAAATCATCATGACAGGAGATATCAGTTGAGTGTAACTGCCAGCTCTGGTTCAAGAACTCTTCTGAAATTGCAGACTGACAGACAAGTATAAAATGTGGTTGTGAAGAATCACAGAAGCTTAGGGGACCTCTGGAGATCATCTAGTCCAACTTGCCTGCCAGAGCAGGTTTACCTAGAGCAGATTGCACGGGATGGTGTCCAGGTGGGTTTCGAATGTCTCCAGAGAAGGAGACTCTACCACCCCTCTGGTAAGAGTTCTTTCTTGTGTTTAGATGGAGCTTCCCATGTTCAAGTTTGTGCCTGTTACCTCTGTCCTGTCAGTGGACACCACTGAAATAAGGCTGGCCTCATCCTCCTGACACCCACCCTTTAAATATTTATAAGCACTGATAAGATTCCCCCTCAGTCTTCTCGTCTTCAGACTAAAAAGCCCCAAGTCCCTCAGCTCTTTCTTCATAAGAGAGATGTTCTAGTCCCCTAATCATCTTCATAGCCCTTTTCTGAATCCTATCCAGCAGTTCCCTGTCCTTCTTGAACTGGGGAGCCCAGAACTGAACCCAGTACTCCAGGTGCAGCCTAAACAGGGCAGAGCAGAGGAGGAGAGTGACCTCCCTTGACCTGCTGGCCACTCTCGATGCACCTGAGGATGCCATTGGCCTTCTTGGCCACAAGGACGCATTGCTGGCTCATGGTCATCCTTTTGTCCACCGGGACTCCCAGGACTTTTTCCACAGAGTTGCTTTCCAGCAGCTTTGCCCTCAACGAGTCCTCATACGTGGGGTTCTTCCTCCTTGCACTTGCCCTTGTTTAATTTCATAAAGTTATCCTTTGCCCAACTCCGCAGCCTGTCCAGGTCATGTTGGATGGCAGCGCAGCCTTCTGGTGTATCGGCCACTCCTCCCAGTTTTGTGTCCTCAGCAAACTTGCTGAGAGTACACTCTATACCTTCATCAAGGTCGTTGATGAATATATTGTGCAGGACTGGACCCAGTACTGACCCCTAGGGAACACTGCTTGTTACAGACCTCCAGCCAGACTCCGTACCTCTAATCACAATGCTCTGAGCTCCAGCTTTCAGCCAATTTTCAATCCACCCCACTGTCCATTCATCTAACCCACACTTCCTAAGCTTGCCTGTGGGGATGCTGTGGGAGATGGTGTCAAGAGCCTTGCTGAAGTCAAGGTAGACAGCATCGACTGCCCTCCCCTCATCTTCTCATCAGTCGTCATGCCATCATAGAAGGCTATCGCACTAGTCAGGCATGACTTCCCTTTGGTGAATCCTTGTTGACTACTGTCAACCCTGTTTCCTCCACATATGTTGAGATGATGCCCAGAATGAGCTGTCCATCATCTTTCAAGGGATGGAGGTGAGGCTGACTGGCCTGTACTTTCCCGGGTCTTCCTTCTTGCCCGTTTTGAAGACTAGAGTAACGTTGGCTTTCCTCCAGTCCTCGTTAGTTACTGCAATTAGCACTAAGAATTTGTTTTTATCCACTGTTGGAAGCAGAATTTTAAAGCTTAGAAACAGAAAGTACTTTGAAAAACATGGATGCAAGAATAAGAATTGTCGTATCGGATCAAGAAGGATGGTCCACATAGTCCAATGTTATACTTGTCCAGTAAGAAACAGATAAATCAGTTTTCATGAAAATTAATCTGATTCTGAATTTACTTCCGCTGTGACCACTGGAGTTTTCTTTTCTCTAAGTCTTACTTAGACTCATTCCTTTAATCATGACATGGGTGAGAAGATTTATTCCCTCCTGTCCTCAAATAATTTGACTGTACCACTCTTAGACTGAGTTCAAAATGAAAGAAAAGATATTAGCTGTTTTATAGAACTCGCATAGGTTACCATAACATAGAACTGGTTTTTGTCTGAGTTTTTTCAATTTATTTAGTTTTGTAGTGTGAATGATTATTTTTTTTTAATAACCTGCAATTTTAAATTAAGATCAAATTAAGCTGTAAGCAGCTTAACAAATCCTCTGACAAAAGAGATTAATTTCACACTTTGTCCTTTGTTTACTCATTTCAAATTTCATTATGCTGGGGGAAAAAAGTGAATTAAGTGGATTAAAAAGTTTTTTCAAATTACTATTAGTAATTTATTTATTAGTACTGTTTTAAGAATGCATTTCTATTGTTTTGAAGACAACAGAAAGAAATTATATCTTTGAGCTTTTTGTACCTAAGGTGATAAAAACCAACATTATTCTTCTACTTCTTTCTCCATGTGCTATCATTTTACAGTATTATATTGAAGTTTGCACTTTTGTATTAATCTCGTTTACCTTTTATGTGCCAGAGATGATGTAAGTCATCACCTTGTTTATCTACAACCAAATTTAGAAGTACTTTGCAAGAGCTAGTAGTAAAAAATCAATATTTTCTAGCTTAAAAGGCTAGTTTAGTTTTCTAAAACCTACAGTATTCAATATATTGACCAAAGCAATGATAGCAGTCCTTTTTCCTTCTTCCTCTGCTTGAACTTTTGGAATTAGTTTTTAACAAGCTATACAAAGATCATGACTGAAAAATTAACATTTTTCAGTTCAACTCTTGGACTGAAAACCTAAGGAAGGAACCAGAGGGAAACTGAAAGGACCGTGTTTTTCTGTTCTAACAATTTTCTGCTGGAAAACAAAAGCAATTGGTTTTGAATAGACCTTTGGCTGTTAACGTCTAATGATTTGCTGCCAGTTGAAGAAGCAGTTTACTGAAGGTAGCATGTATCTTCCACAGACTACTTATTAGTCTTACTATATAAATCTCGTGCTACTAACAGGGTTGTATCTATAAACCAGAAAAATAGCAAAGTGTGGCATTTTTTAAATTTGCTTTTTTTTTTTTTTAATAAAAAGTCTACAGTTTTTTCAGGAAAATCTCATTTAAATACAAATCTGCTGGCTCAAAAGCTTCTTTTACATGCAAGCCTATACTTGAATCCTACTTTTATTGTTAGTGCCAGTATTTAAATATATGAATAAAATTAATGAACTCGCACTTAAGAGAGTTTTTCTGGCTGTCCTAGTATTTCCCAGTACAGCAATTGATGGTCTAGCTATTGATAGTCTAGCTAATTGTCTAGTCAATTGTCTAGTCTAGCTAATTGTCTAGTCAGTTGATAGTCTAGCTAATTGTTTTGTGGTGGAAACTTGTCAAGCTGAATTAGAACAGAGAACTTGTTCTGAGGACAGTAGCAAGCATTTGCAGATATGGAAGGTTTAGAATTAACATTAAGAAAACCCATAAAACAAAACACCCTCAAGGGGTGCAGACACACTGCTGAAGTGTGCCAGTACTGCTGTGGGTTAGCCCTGGTTGACCCCAAAGCACCACACAGCTGCTCAGTCCCTTCCTCTTCCCCCTCCCTGTCCCCAGTGGGACAGGGGAGATAATCACAGAATTGTTGAGGCTAGAAAAGACTTCCGAGATCATCAAGTCCAGCCTATGTCCCAGCACCATCACATCGGCCAGACTACGGCACTAAGTGCCGCATCCCTGTCTACCAGCTCAGGAGCCCAGTTGCCCTGAGGACAACCAGTCTTCTTGTTAAAGACTGAGTCAAAGAAGGTATTGAGTACATCAGCTTTTTCCTTCTGTTACTGTGTTCCCCTCCTCATCCAATAGGGAACAGAGATTTTCCCTGACCCTCCTTTTGTTATAATGTATTTATAAAAGCACTTTTTGTTATCTTTTACAGAGATCGACAGATTAAGTTCTAACTGAGCTTTTGCTTCTCTAATTCTCTTTCTGCATGACCTTACAATATCTTTAAATGCTTCTTGATTCACCTGCCCCTTTTCCCAAAGTTGCTATGCTCTTTTTTTGTTTTTCCCGAGTTCTTGCAAAAGCTCCCTGCTCAACTACATCGGTCTTCTTACTCGCATAGGGACAGCTTGCTCCTGTGCCTTCAGAATTTCATTCTTAAAGTATGGCCAGCATTCCTGGGCCCCTTTGTTTTTAAGGACTGCTTCCCAAGAGATTCTCTGAACCAGCATACGGAAAAGTCTGAAGTCAGCCCTCTGGAATTCTGAGGTAGAGGTTTTGCTGACAACCCTCCTAAGTTCACCGCATATAGAAAATTGCATCATATCATGGTCGCTGAGGCCAACGCAACCTCTGACCACCACATCTTCCACCAGCCCTTCCCTGTTCGTGAGCAGTCGGTCTAGCAGGGCACTACCCCTGGTAGCCTCACTGACCAGCTGCAACAGGAAGTTGTCATCCATACATTCCAGAAACCTCCTGGACTGCCCTCTCTCTGCTGTGTTGTACTTCCAGCAGATATCTGGTAAACTGAAGTCCCCCACAAGACCCAGGGCTAGTGAATGCGAGACATCTCTAAGTTGTTGAAAGAATGCCTCATCAGTGTCTTTATCCTGGCCAGGTGGTCTGTAGCAGGCTCCCACTAGGATATCAGCCTCATTGGTCTTGCCCTTTATCGTTATCCATAAACACACCACCTTGGTGTGCCTAACATTGAATTCTAGACAGTCAAAGCACTCCTAAACATATAATGCTATGCCACCACCTCTCTTTCCTTGCCTATCTCTTCTAAAGAGCCTGTAGCCATTCATTCTGGCACTCCAACGTTCTGGCACTCCCACAAATGTTTCTGTGATGGCAATTATTTCATGGTTTCCCTGGTGTACAATACCTTCTACTTCCTCCTGTTTCTTTCCCATGCTACGGGCATTGGCATATATGCACTTGAGCGGCAGTACAGACATGGCCTTCAATGCCAGTACGTCACCTCGTGTCCTATCCCTGGCAGTCCTGGGTTTGTCACATATGACACCATTATCCACCTCAAGTGGGACAGGAGACTGCAGGCTGTCCTTAGGCTCATTTATAGTGAGTCTGGTTTTATCCCCTTCCACCTTCGAGCCTCCTTTAAAGAAGAGGGAGAGCAAGAGAAAAAGCTCATGGGTTGAGCTCTTTGGTCGTTTGGGGTCTGCTGTCATAATTGTGTCCCCTCTCAACTCCCTTCTCATGAGTCCCCAACCTACTGGGGGGTGGGCAGAGTTGGAACAACAGAAGACCACTGCACTGCAAGCATTGCTCAGCAGCAGCCAAAATACTGTGCAATGCCAACACAGGTTTAGTCACAAATTTGAAACACAGCACCTTATGGTCTGCTATGAAGAAAATTAGCACCATCCCAGCCAGCCCCAGTACAAAGTACTTTGACCTCTACCCTATAAAGGAAGGAGAGAGAGCCGAAAAAAGTAAACTCTAGCATGTTTGCTGTGCTCAGAGGTGCTGCCTTTCAGTGACAGCCATTGCCGTGCATTCTTTAATGTAAGCAAAGCAGATAACCTTTCAGAAAAATGGTAGCTCACTTTGCAAAGGTTATGTCTTGTGTCTCTATGCAAAAGCATGAAAAGGAAATCAGTCTAAAATAAGTCAGTTTACTAACTGAGATCTGTAATGGAAAAGGAATATTTTTTCTTCCTACAATTAACAAAGGTTAGAGTGTCTTGAAAAGTAACTATTTTTTGGTTTTCAGTTGGTTCTGAATAAAAGTTTTAAGTGTCTGTTCAAGATTAGGTAGGCTCAGCAATCTTAAACTGCAGATGTGATTACAAACCAGCAGATGAGAGAAGAGGGTTATTCTGTGTAGACTATTAATATTGGGCCAAGATGTGTATCCAAGATATGATCCTGCTGAGAAAATGGAAGAGCTTGTGAGGCGAAGAGGGGTGTGGGAACAGTATATCTATCTATTATGTACATACATACCAAAAACACCAGTTAGGAAAGTGTACAGAAGAATTGTTTATTGGTATTAAATTGATTCACACGTACCTCCAAAAACTGTTGGCTTATTTAATAACACATCTCTTTCTTTTTGTTACTAATTGCATATTATTTTTTAAGCTAAGCTCGACTTTGTTGTAACCAGTTAAAGTGCTGTTGAAATGAATATATTACTCATCCCTTCTTCTTCTTTTTGGGCTATGCAGGTTATGTTCAAGCATCAAAGCAAGACAAGAAGTTCATGGCTTGTGCTCCAGATTATTCCTACGCTGCTCTTTGTGAGTGCATGCGGCGAGTTTTCATCTACCGTCAGCCAACTCCTCTGTCCACAGTTCTCTACAACAGGAAAGAAGGAAGACAAGTAGGACAGGTTGCTAAGCAGTTGGTAGCAACTCTGGAAGCCCATGATCCTATCTTAGGCTTTCAAGCCACAAGTGAGAGATTATTTGTTCTCACAACAAAAACCATGTTTTTAATAAAAGTGAACTCTGGAAATTAATTATTTAGTATATCCTTCTGTAGCTTGTGTTCATTTGTTAAAGAACTAGCTAAATGATCGGAGAAGTTCAGTGCAATTTGAAGTTTGAGAAGGAGATATTTTACAGGGGATTCAAAATTTTTTCATTAGAATTTGTCTCTAAGATAGTGAGGAAGTTTGTCAACTTTGCTGTCACTGAAGCAAGCTTTTTCAGAAAAAGCTGTGTGAAAATGTCTTCTGCGCCAATAACAGCTTTCTCAAAGCAATTGTCAGAGCCTGCTGTTGCATAGGTGAATAGGTTTGTGCATTGGTTTTCCAAATGACTGTTTGCCATACTTCTGAGTTTTGAGAATTCAGTTCTGTTTTTAAATGCCACTGCTTATCTATGAAAGAAGTAGGCAGATAAAGAAAATAAAGCCTTGATTTCCAAGTATGAGATGTGTAAAGCGAAGAAGTGTGTATCACAGAGAAAAAAAATAATCCCAAGTTTAAATACCATTGGCCAAAAAAATTGTTTAATATTGTAATATTCAGTAGTGTTGAGTGAAATGTGAATGGAATGAATGGAATCTATTATACAGGCAGTTAATTCAAATGAAATAATTTCATTGTATAAGCATATTTTAGATAATTGATTTGGGACTTATGCTTGCAGTGAAATCTGTTCTCATTTTGGGAGACCCTAGAATAGCTTTTAATAGCTTTTTCCTGAAGCAAAGTAAGGGTTAGCGCACAGCTGGTGGTTACGTACTGAATGGTAGTAGTCAAGGTGTACTTACACTTTCAGTTGTGTCATTTTCATTTGACATTGCACTTCATCTCAAGTAACCAATTTACAGTTGGAAAATGGCGAGCAGAAGAAGCACCCGTATTGTAACCTGAGATGGGAAACTCAGAACTGCTGCGTCTGCCTCAGATACCACTGTAAATACTGTGTTACTGTTTAACCATTCTGTCTGTGATGCACAAGTCCAGATGTTGTACATTGGTACTATAAGAGTATACAGGCCATGAGGCTGCTTCAGTTTAACAAACTGGCTTGGTTAATTGTGTTGAATAGTTGTATCTGAAAATTTCTGTTTCTTATTTGAAATTCATAGAATGGTTTGAGTTGGAAGGGACTTTAAAGATCATCTTGTTCCACCCCCCCTGTTATGGGCAGGGACACCTTCCACTAGACCAGGTTGCTTAAAGCCCCATCCAGCCTGGCCTTGAACACTTCCGGGAAGGGGCTTCCACAGCTTCTCTAGATTTGTCTGGATCTGCTCCAACAGGTCCATGTCTTCCTTACACTGGCAGCCCCAGAGCTGAACACAGTACTCCCAAGTGCTGTCTGAGAGTGGAGTAGAAGTGGGAGACCTTCAGCCTAGGATGTGTTTGGCTTTCGGCACTGCAAGCACACATCGATGACTCATACCCAGTTTTTCATTCCCAAGTCCTTCTCTGCAGGGCTTCTCTCAATCCACTTGTTTCCCAGCCTGTATTTGTGCTTGGGATTGCCCTGACCCAGGTGTAGGACCTTGCACTTGACCTTATCGATGATTATGAGGTTTGTGTGTGCCCACCTCTCCAGCCTGTCAGGGTCCCTCTGGATGGCATCCCTTCCCTCCAGCATGTGGATCACACCACACAGCTTAGTGTCATCAGAAAACTTGCTGAAAGTGCCCTCAATCGCACTGTCCATGTGGCCTACAAAGATGTTAAACTGCACTGAACCCAGTACCACCCCCTAAGGAATGCCACTCGTCACTGGTCTCTAATCAGAGGTTGAGCTGCTGACCACAACTCTTTGAGTGTGACCATTCAGCTAATTCCTTATCCTCAGAGTGGTCCATCTGTCAAACTCGCATCTCTCCAGTTTAGAGACAAGGATGTCATGTGGGACAATGTCAGATGACATCAGTTGCTCTTCTCTTACCCACCAATGTTGTAGCCCTATCATAGAAGGCAACCAAATTTGTCAGGCGTGATTTGCCTTTAGTGAAGCCATGTTGGCTGTCTCCAATCACCTCCTTATTTTCTATGTGCCCTAGCATAGTTTCCAGTCAGATCTGCTCCATGATCTTGTTGGGCACCGAGATGAGACTTGACTGTAGTTTCCCAGGTCTTCCTTTTTTCCCTTTTTGAAAGTGGGACTTATGTTTCCCATTTCCCAGTCAGTGGGACCTTCACCAGACTGCCATGACTTCTCAAATGTGACGGATAGTGGCTTAGCAACTTCATCTGCCAGTTCCCTCAGGACCCGCAGATGCATCTCATCAGATCCCATGGACCTGTGCACCCTCAGGTTCCTGAGATGCTCTCCTGATCTTACCCTACAGTGGGTGGTCCTTCATTCTGCCAGTCCCTGCCTTTGCCTTCTGCGACCTTGGTCATGTGGCTGGAGCACTTGTTGGTGAAGACTGAGTCAAAGAAATCAGTGAGTACCTCGACCTTCTCTTTAGCCCAGGTAACCAGGTCTGTTTCCTTCCAAGAGGGCTCACGTTTTCCCTAGTCTTCCTTTTATCACCAATATACCTATAGAAGCTTTTCCTGTTGCCAGATTTAATTCTATCAGGGCCTTGGCTTTCCTGACATGATTCCTGGCTGCTCAATTTCTCTGTGCTCCTAGCCTACTTGTCCTTGCTTCCACCCTGTCTAGGCTTCCTTTTTGTGTTTCAGTTTGTCCAGGAGCTCCGTGTTCATCCACGCTGGCATCCTGACTGGCGCCCTGGATTTTTTGCCTGACTTTCTCTTTGTCAGAATGCATCACTCCCGGCCTTGAAAGAGGAGATTCTTGGATACTGAGCAGCTTTCTTGGCTTCCTTTTCCCTCTAGGGCTTTATCCCATGGAACTCTACTCAGCAGGCCCCCTGATGAGGCCCAAGTCTGCATTGACTTGTCAATTAACATTATCAATAGAGTTAAACCAAAAAAGAGATAGTTGTGACAGCTCCACCCGGGTTGGGTTTTTTTCGTGGTTTGCTTACAACTCCATAGCAAAGAATGCCAAACACATCGTGTACCGGCAGGAAAGCTGCTGCAATCTATGGTGCTAAAGTGCCGAGACAGATGCAAGTTACTGGCAGAAACAAATCCAACAAGTAGCCTAATAGTTTGTATCTTTTCCAATATTATTTTCAGATCTCAGTAGGAATCTATTGAGAGGAAGATAAATGTTTATTTTTCACAGTAAATTTTCAAGACTTGTAAAAGTGGAATGGTTAAATGCTGCAGTGCGAATTTAAGAGGGAGACTAGTAGCTGTGGACTGTTAAAAACCTCCTCAATGCGGGAGTGTTTTTAGGAACCTTATCCTTACAGCAGGATTATATTGTATAGCCAATATTGAAAAGTTTTGCCTAAGTAAGTTAAAACAGACTTGACCTTCCCTTCTCATTATGTTGTGGGTTTTTTTAAGCTGTCTTGAAAATGCTTTTTAAAAAGGCTCAGCGAATGTGTTGCTGTTTAATGACTGTTTTACATCTAGATTTTCATTGTTGGGTGATAGTGTCAAACAAGGTGGCAGAATTCATGCAGAAGTCCTTTAGAAAAGATTTTATGTAGCTGATTGCAGCATAAAGTAAGTGCTTTGAAATGGATATGAATATTACTTAGTAACCTGTGATTTAATCATTAGGAACACAGAGTTAAGAATACGTGATATTTAGGGAATGGAGGAGTGAAGGATGTATAGCCAAACATGCTTCTGTCACCTCAGGTCTATCGCAGGAAGCTTTGGTCTAGATGAGAATTTCAGCTGTTCTTTGTCAAATTCTCTTTACTGTGGGTCAGATATCTGAAAACATATTTCTCCTGTCTCCTACAACAGAGAAAAGAAAGTAAAATGGTTACTTCTTCAGAGGCTCTGCTATAATATGTAAAGACTAAAACGTTCTGCCCAAATGTGTGTCTTTTTCAAAGGAGTTCTTGTTTGCCCCTGGGAGCAACTGAACATGGGCAAGACGTTCATCTCTTGTTCCGTGTTACTCATGTATTGCATCTTATTTCTCAGAAAGTATATGTCAGTCTCTCTTTTATTTTGCTTTCTTAAGGATATTGTATTATTTAAAAGATTTGTTGCCTTGAGGAACTTTTCATGCTGTCGCACAGCAAGCTATTTTAATTAAATGACTGCAAGCCACAGGGAGGCACTTCCTCTCAGCATTTCCATTTCTGTTTTCACTTGATTTTAAGGCTTATTTGTTTAGCATATTAATGTAGGCTTATACAAAGTATAGAATGTAGATATTTACAAGAGGTGGTTTTCTGAGAACCATACTTCAGTTTTTCTAGGATTTTATTTCTTGAATTCTTACATTTTAAGACACAGTTCTTCCTGAGAGGTCCCAGTCACAATCTGTTTACAGAATTTCTGAGAAAATATTTGGCTATGATAGACTTGCATTATTTATTTCTAATATTCTTTTTCGGTCTTTTCCTTGGCTGCATGTTTGGAATGTGCTATGTATTCTTCTACAAGCTTAAATAAATGAATAAAATATTGCATTTTCTAATTGTTTTTAAGAATTTCTGGTAATTTCAAATGCACTTACTTAAGCTACTGAAACAAAATAGAAAAATCAAAATAAGAAATTCCTTACAGTAAGACTTGTTACATTAAGGAGCTTTCTGTTAGGGCAAAGTTCTGATGGATGTTTGTGCTGCCAAGTCACGTCCCTTGCCAAGACGTGCACTATTGCCATCTCTGTTCATTTCTGTGAAAATCCCTGTACGGTCCTTTTCCTGTCCCTTGTTTCATGTACGAAGGTAGTTACTGGAGGGAGCTGAGAAGTATTCAGGTGTATTCTTGTGTTAAATGCATATTGTATCGTCTCATCCTCTGTGTTTGTTGCACACAAGACCCCAATGATCTGGATAAACCCTTCCAGGAGGAAGGAGAGGAGTCTCCACTTCCTCCCTCCCACCCCTACCTCAACCGAAGGGTGCCTTTTTGCAGGAGAGTGAAGAAGAGAAAGGATTTGGTCTGTACATATGTCCTGGGACAAAAAGTATTTCTTCATTACTGAAACAACAGACCCTGTGAGAGTAACAAATAAAGTTGAAGCTTATATTTTATTTCTGTTTGCTCTGCTTTGTTTCAATGGTGAATGTTAATATCACTCTAAATTTTGAATTTCCTTGCCTTCTGTCAA